TTACACAATGACAAAAATATCACAGGGAAAAAACTTTGAAAGACTTCAGAACTCCACTCAATGCACCTGTAAGTCACAAATCCAAAGGACTAAACATGAATCATGCCACTCACCTTCTGCCAGAGAGCTTATGGATTTAAAATGATACATGCATATTTGCATGTAACCAATTTGGGAATCTGTTTTGATTCGGTATATTTAATGAGCTGTTTTTTTGTTATTGCTGTTCGATGGGAAGGGGACACTGGGAGAGGGAGAGAATAAATGCTTGTAAAAATAAATGGATAAATGAATACTTTTTTTTTTTAGAAAATACTAAGGTCAGTTTACTTTCCATTTGTAATGCTTGTCCTAGATACATGTATTTACAGATTTAACTCAGTAGACTGGCCACCTAGCTATGTGTAATAATTTGGACAACAGGTATTTTTCATCCATTGCATTTTCCTGGTAGATTGATGGGCCAATCTTTTTAAAGTACTGACATGACAGATCTAATGAGGAGGCCCTGTACTTTTCTGAAGCTTGATGCAATCAGTATATCATCTGCAAAGAGTGAAATCTAAAGGACCTTATTATCTGTCCAGAATCCCTTTGTCATGTGGACTCTAGGCAGAATATCCTTTAAAACAACTTTTGACCTATTGAGTCAAATATGTGTTGGGTTTTTGGTAATCAATAAAATAAATGAGAGCTTGCATTCCCTGCACCTGTCAGTTAACTGTAAGACTTTAAAGATGTGATCTACTATAAAACTGTCACTATTTATAAAGCAACCTAAAGTTCTATACCCCCTTGCCTGGCAAAATAAAGGATAAATTAAATAATATAGAGGAGACTTTTTTTTGAGGTATGAGTTGGACCAGAGGTGTCTGGCCCTAGCATAGCCTGAACTAGATTAAAATGTCATTGGGAAATGTTTAACAAAATAAATAAAAATACAACAGAGATTATGTTGATTTATAGTTTTTTAAGTCCTTTCTATCTGAGTTTAACACCACTGGGTTGGACTATGATGGATCTCTAAGGTGGCCTTTTAGATCTGTGATTCTGTCCAGAGACAGGTAGTGTGATGGATAGAATGCTAGATTTGAAGTCAGGAGGACCTGAGTTCAAATCTGGCTTCATAAACTCAGTGTGTTACCCTGGGCAAGTCACTTAATTTCTGTCTGTCTCATTTCCTCACTTATAAAATGGGGATAATAACAGCACCTACCAATATTTGTAAAGCACTCTGAAAACTCTGAAATGTCATATAAATGCTATTATTATTAACAGGCATCAGCTCTATATTTTGATTTATGATCTTTGTGAGATGCTATAGCTAAAAAATTTATTTTACTACAGCAATGTTAATGATGCTCTCCAAACTTATTTAGACTAAAACAAGCATTTATTAAACATCTACTATGTGTTAGGCACTGTGCTAAGTGTTCCATAAACAGAATCATAACATCATAGTCAGAAAAGATCTTAGGGCTCATCTAGTCCAACCTCCCACCTAATGTAGGGATTCTTTCGATAATACTCTGAAAGATGGTCATCTAGTCTCTGAATGATTTCTGTGATAGGGAGTAATATACAATTATTGTCAGACAATTCTTGGAACTTGAATTGGAATGGAACTTGAAAGTTCCATTAATACGACTTAAATGAAAACTTCATATATTATAAAGAAATTGTCAAAAAGTGTTAAATGTTTAATAAAGATTAAGATGATCTTTATTTTTAAAGTGATTTTACCTACCCTAAATCTAAGCATTGATAGCATCCCATTCTAAAACAAATTAATTACATGTATGCCCCACTTAAAAAAATATATATACAAATTCACAGGATAAACCTTATAAAATTAATTTTATAAAACTTTATAACTTTATAAAACTTTGTAACCTCAAAAAACATTTTCACTTTATACAGAATTCACCACAGTTTTCCCATTAATAGGTAGTTCTAACATATTTCAATTACTTTGGTATCCTTGAAATAGTTCAATTACATATACTTCGGCAGGAATACAAATATGTAAAATATATTTTAAATCATAATTGTTAAAGAATATTTCCATGAAAAAAAGTAAAAATAAATGTATTAAACACAAAAAGAATACAAAAGATAGGGATACTGGCAAATTGCAAACAGCACTGCAACTTTATTCCTTTTCTAGAATTTATGAGTATAGCAAAAGAACAATACATATTGGCTCAAGTATAGGAATTGTGACTAGTGATTCTGCTTACCATTTAACTCACCTGATTCTCCTATTCCCACCGCAGGCTACAGCAATACACACTCTAAAACGAAGGTAGCAGAATTCTATCCTTACACTAGGATCAAAGAATTGTATATTCAGAGCTTAAGAGCACATTAAGAGCTACTGTATCATAAATTTAAATATGGAAGGTCATCTAGTACAAGCCTCTCATTTTACAGATGAGGAACCTAACACCTGGAGAAGTAACTTGCCCAGAGTGACCCAGGCAATAAGTGGCAGAGCCAGGAATTTAAACTGGGTATATTTTGATTCCAAACCCAGTACTCCTTTTTTCTGTGCCATTCTACAACAGAGATACTAAAGAGCTTCCACTCTAAAGTCCTGAAATCAATTCTTCCCATCAAGTTTGTCTCTTGATGATACAGATGACAAGATCTAGAAAAAAACACAAGTGCTTGTGGGCTGAACTGTCCTACTGAAGAGGCTGGAGAGCCTCCCTCACATGTGAGGGCATCCGTAGGTATGCAGCCTCATTTCTGGAGACTGACACCACAGAGTATTTTGCCATGATATACCTAAAATAGGAATGAATTTCTGTATATTTCTCATGTTGGTAAACTAGAACCTGGACCATTATGACTGTCATTAGCACAAAGGAAACAAAATAACTAAAGATGTTTGTTTTGTACATATAAATCATGCTTTCAACTATGAGTATAATTCATCTAACAAATTATGATCATGTTGTGAATATTTTAAAATCAATTAAAAGCAAAATATGCAGACATGCAGAAAACCATTGTTAACATAATGATTATGTATTCTTGCCTATTCTTTTCTCCCCAGTGTGGAGAGTTCTGTTGCTGTGCTTGACTAGCCACCTTCAGCTCTCAGCACCTATTCATGCTATCTGCTCTTTTAGAGTTTACTATAACTTTGAATTACCCAGACGCACAACCTCAGCATCATTCTTGACTCTTTTTCACACTCTTTCATTCCTTTAGCCAGTCAGATGACAAGTCTTGTTAAATCTACTTCCACAAACTCTCTCACATTCATTCTCTTCTCTTCACTCACACTGCCGCCACTCTAGTTCAGGTCCTTATCACCTCTCAACCTAGACTAGTTCAAAAGCAACTCAACTGGTCTCCCTATCCGAAGCTTCTCTCTTCTCCAATCCATCTTCCTACAGCTTCCAAATTAATCTTTTTTAAGTACAAGAGTCATAATGACACTACTCACTCAAAAACCACCAGTGGCTCCCTATGTCTTTAGGATAAAATGCAAACTCCTCTGTTTGATATGTAAAGAACTGCATAATTTGGCTTCAGCTCACTTTTCCCAAGTCAGTTAAATTATTCCCCTTTACATACTCTATAATCCAGATCCAAACTGGTCTTTTTGCTCTTCCTCCCAAACAACACTTACACCTCATGTCTTACAACCATGCCTTTGCACAAGCTATACTCTGTGCCTGAAAAGAACTCTCTCCTCTCCACCTCTTAAACTCCCTAGATTTCTTTTCGGCTCAGATTCAGTGTCACCTCTTACATGGATCTTTCCCAAATGATTTTGCATATGTTTTATATTGACTTGTATGTATACATGTTCATGCCCCTTTGTAGAATGTAAGCTATTGAGATGTCAAGGTGGTTTTTTTCATCTTTTTAACTACAGTGCTGGGCATTAAGTAGCTACTTAATAAATGCTTGTTGACTAATTACTTGTGCTTAGAAGTCTTATTTTCTGGCATCAAAATTTTTACATTTAATTATTCATTCATTCATTGAATGAATTTATGAAATGCTAGTGAAGTATGACTGCTAGTGAGTACCTGCAAGAAGGGTAAGCAATTTGTCTGGAAATACGCAAGAAAAGCAAAATCCCCCAAATTTAAGGATAAGGGCAATTTTGTACCTGCCCCCCCTTGAAGTATATTCTGGGGGATTCCCCAGTCTATTTTTTTCACCCACTCCACCCACTGTGAATCTTCGGGAGTGGGAGACTCATTAGGCTTTTCCTACTTCTATTTCAAATCTACCTTATTCTTTGCCTCCTCTCTAACAAGTGGTTTACCTGTCCTGAGGCCACCTTGATAAGCCACCCTGCTGACAGGTGGTTCCTCTTAAGTAGGCATAGCCAGCTGTTGATGTTCAAAGGATGTTGTGGTCTTTGGATATGTTCCCAATTTGAATTTTAATGAACACCTCAGATCTCTGGTGGGAGAGAGTAATAGAACAGAAGAGGCAGGTTGATGTAGTGGAAAATAACTCTGAACCTGGAGTCAGATGACCTGGCTGTGACTCCTGGTTCTGTCATTTACAAACTATATGAATTTAGGTAAGTCAGCCACTTAGTTTCAGTTTCCATTCCCTCATCTGCAAAAATGGATTGTAATAATGACTGCCCTGCCTACTTCATATGGTACTATGTGTATTTAAGGTAATATTGCACATTCAGATGCTTTGAAAAAAAATCATTTAAGTAGTACCCAAATTTAAGGCAGATATGGTGAATAGTATTAAGTCAAGGGGAACTAAATAAGCACATGAGTCCAAATACTAGAAAGGAAAAGAAATCAAACTCTCCATTCTTTGTCTCTTCATCAAACCAAATTATTAGGAACAAGACTGTATTGGCCCATCATATCCCACAAGCAAAATCACTGAAAGGAAACTTTAGTATATAACTAGTCTTTATATTTTAAAATATTGTTACCTGGTTATAAAGTATAACATAAAACAAAATATGTACTATTTAAGCATCCCCACTGTTCATTGCTTACCTTTTCTAATACAAATAAGCTCATGTACTCCACAGGTTCGTTCTCCACCTGTTCAAAAAGTATCAGAAAAGACAAAAAATATTGTCATCTTAGTTTGACTGTCACAAAGTAAAATTTAAACTTTTAACTTCAAAAGAGAGAAGACATTTTTAAAGGTACCTTGATTTTTTTTCTCTCAACCATATTAACCAAATATATTAACTAGACACCCAGAATTTACAGGGATGGATCAAAAATTAAGACTATTGGAGGCAGAGCCAAGATGGCAAAGTGAAAGCAGTGACTTGCTTGAGCTCTCCCCAAAACCCCTCCAAATACTCACAAAAAATGGCTCTAAACAAATTCTAAAGCAGCAGAACCCACAAAAAGACAGAGTGAAACAAATTTCCAGCCCAAGACAACATGGATGGCTGATCAGAAAGGTATATCGCGCTGGGCTGGCAGCGCAGTGTGGCACAGCAGGCCATAGCCAACCTGGAGCAGGCCTCAGAGGACTGAATCTCGGGCAGCTGTGGAGATTTCCAGACTCCTCAATCCACAAATGCCAAAGACAACTTAGAAGGTCAGTGGGAAAAGTCTGTTTCTGTGGTGCTGAGAGAGGAAGGCAGGGTCTCAGCTCCATTCCCCAAGATGGGGGGAGGGGGGGAAATGCAGCTGCTTCCGGAGCTTCTGGCCCATAGACTGAGGAGGAATCCAGGAGCTGATCAGAGAGAATGGATTGCAGGGATCTCTGCCAGTGCTGAGGCAGGAATCTCTTGCTTTGCCCGTGTTTGGATCTGGGTCACAGTTCTGGGCAACTGTGCTGGGGTGAGGAGGAACGCTGGCGTGGTGGAGCTTGTAGTGGCTGTGAAGAGGAACCCCTCCTCACAGTTACAGGATAGAAAGGAGTAGTTGTGGTCACAGGCCAGGAAAGGAGTAAACACCTCACCCCTTATCATACCACCTTGGAAGAACTGAAAATTTACAGGTCCCTACAAGTATCTCTGAAAACAGCTACACAAACCCCCAAAGCTTGGGACAGTACATTCTCCACGTTGGAAGCAGACTCTTACCTTAACAAAGAGTTTAAAACTCAAGTAATTGGCTGGGATCATGAGCAAGCAGCACAAAAAGAGTCAGACTATAATATCTTACTTTGGTGACAAAGAAGATCAAAACATACAACCAGAAGAAGACAACAAAGTCAAAGCTCCTACATCCAAAGCCTCCAAGAAAAATATGAATCAGTCCCAGGCCTTGGAAGAGCTCAAAAGGGATTTTGAGAAACAAGTGAGGGAAGTAGAGGAAAAACTGGGAAGAGAAATGAGAGTGATGCAAGAAAATCAAAAAACAAGTCAACAGCTTGCTAAAGGAGACCCCAAAAAATACTGAAGAAAATAACACCTTAAAAAATAGCTTAACCCAAATGGCAAAAGAGGTCCAAAAAGCCAATGAGGAGAAAAATGCCCTAAAAAGAAAAATTGGCCAAATGGAAAAGGAAGTCCAAAAGATTACTGAAGAAAATACTTCCTTAAAAATTAGAATAGAGCATTGGAAGCTAGTGACTTTATGAGAAATCAAGACACTGTAAAACAAATCCAAAGGAATGAAAACTTAGAAAACAATGTGAAATATCTCATTGGAAAAACAACTGACCTGGAAAATAGATCCAGGAGAGAGAATTTAAAAATTATTGGACTATCTGAAAGCCATGATCAAAAAAAGAGCCTAGACATCATCTTTCAAGAAATTATCAAGGAAAACTGCCCTGATATTTAGAACCAGAGGGCAAAATAGAAATGAAAGAATCCACAGATCTCCTCCTGAAAGAGATCCCCAAAGGAAAACTCCTAGGAATATTATAGCCAAATTCCAGAGTTCCCAGGTCAAGGAGAAAATATTACAAGCTGCCAGAAGGAAACAATTCAAGTACTGTGGAAACACAATCAGGATAACACAAGATTTAGCAGCTTCTACATTAAAGGACCGCAGGGCATGGAATATAATATTCCAGAGGGCAAAGGAGATAGGATTACAACCAAGAATCACCTACCCAGCAAAACTGAGTATAATCCTTCAGGGGAAAAAATGGTCATTCAGTGAAATAGAGGACTTTCAAGCATTCTTGATGAAAAGACCAGAGCTGAATAGAAAATTTGACTTTCAAATACAGGACTCAAGTGGAACATGAAGAGGTAAACAGGAAAGAGAAATCATAAGAGACTTATTAAGATTGAACTGTTTACATTCCTGCATGGAAAGATGATATTTATAACTCATGAGACCTTTGTCAGTATTAGGGTAGTTGGAGGGAAAAAATTATATGTATGTATAGATAGATAGATAGATAGATAGATAGATAGATAGATAGATAGATAGAGGGCACAGGGTGAGTTGAAGATTAAGGGGTCATATCTGGAGAATAAAATTAAGGGACGAAGAGGATTATACTCGGAGAAGAAGAAAGGGAGAGGCAGAATGGGGTAAATTATCTAAAAAAAAAACAGAAAAGAAAAGTCTCTTATAGTAGAGAGGAAATGGGGGAAGGTGAGAATGAGTGAATCTTATTCTCATAGGATTTGGCTTAAGGAGGGAATAACATACACATTCAATTGGGTATGGAAATCTGTCTTACCCTACAGGAAAATAGGGGGAGAAGGGACAAGAGAGCAGGGGGATGATAGAGAGGAGGGCAGATTGGGAAAGGGGTAATCAGAAGTAAATACTTCTGAGGAGGGACAGGGTCAAAAGAAAGAATAGAATAAATGGGAGGGCAGGATAGGATTAAGGGAAATAGAGTTAGTTTTTCACAACATGTCTACTATGGAAGTGTTTTGCATAACTGCACATGTACAACCTATATTGAGTTGCTTGCCTTTTCAATGAGGGTGGGTGGGGAGGGAGGAAGAGAGAAAATTTGAAACCTAAAGTTTTAAAAACATATGTTTAAAAAAAATGTTTTCACGTGCTACTGGGAAATAAGAAATACAGGAAATGGGGTACAGAAGTCTATCCTGCCCTACAGGAAAATAGAAGGGGAAGGGGATAAGAGAAGGGGGAAGAGATAGAAGAGAGGACAGACTAGGGGAAGGGATATTCAGAATGCATGCCATCTTGGGGTGGGGGGAGGGGTGAGATGGGGTGAAAATTTGGAACTCAAAAACTCGTGGAAGTGAATGTTGAAAACTAAAAAATAAATAAATTTATATTAAAAAAATTAAGACTATTCAAATATCTATACAGACTCATTAACATCTTGGAAAGAACAAACTGCACTGGTCAGTCATTCGGTCAACAAACAAACGTACATTAAACACTTACTAAGTGCCAGGCACTGAATTAAGTGCTGGGCATAAAAAGAAAAGCAAAAGACAGAGCTCTTGAGGAGCTCACAATCTAAAGGGGGACAACATGCAAATAATATACACAAAAAGCTATTCACAAGACACATAGTTTACAAATGAGAAGAAAGGCACGAGAACTAAGAGGGATCAGGAAAGGTTTCCTTTACAAGGTGGGATTTTAGCTGGGACTTAAACAAAGCCAGGGAGGCCAAGAGACAGAGATGAGGAGGGAGAGCATTCCAGGAATGGGAAGTAGCCATTTCCTCAAATCTCTTAACACACAGCACAGACCTCTGCACATAGGAGGCCTATTATATCATATTCCCCTATCTTCTGGGTAAGGTATTACTGCAAGGAGCAACCCTACAGTTTCATCATATAAACTCATATAAGAGCATTATTTCATCCTTCCATTTGGCAAATAATGATGCCAAAATAAGACTGATTAAAATGCTCCTCCATTAAAAGTTATTAGTCAATAAATATTTATTAAGTACCTACTACATGTCAGGTACTGTGATAAGTGCTTTACAATGATTATCTCATTTGATCCTTATAACTACTATGATGTCCACTGTACAGATGAAGAAACTGAGGTGAAAAGAGCTTAAGTCTTTTGCCCAGGGTCACACAGCTAGTAAGCATCTGAGGCCAGATTTGAATACAGGTTTTTCTGACTCCAAGCCTGGTGCTCTATCTACTGCATCACCTAGATGCTCCTTCAAGAAGCTTAGACCCTAACCAGTAAAGACAAAAGAGGATAAAATGGGAGAAGGAGAGAGCCATCAGAGGTACTGTATACAGGAGACCAGACAGAGCAGCTGTTAGGAAATGAAATTAGCGGAAAAGTCTGAGCCCTCTCTGAAGAGAGGCCTCAGGAGGAGATTACTGACCAGCCCTCCCATTAGAGAAAGAGAGGTAGCTGAGGGTGTTAAAGAAGTGTTGTGTATCAAAGCAGAATCAATCTCTATGATGATATTTCAGGCAATGAGATGACTATTTACTGATTGTTTTCATTAATACGAACTAATAAAAATTTTAAGGTATTCTGTATGTGAATGGTGCATCATAATTCTGTTGAGAATTATTTCTCAATTCATCATTGCATTTTTTTTGCTTATAAGAGCAGTCTATTAACCACTTCATTATAACAAAGAGAAATATTTATAGCAACAACATGAAAGGATAACACTAATATCTACTAAAGGACAGATCACTAATATCTACTTTAAAAAATTTAGTTACTTTGGTAAGCAGTCTTAAATTTTTAAAAATATTTCTAGCACTAAAGTAGACTTAGTCTACACACTAACTGTAGTATTAACCATACCACCATTTTAAACTAAAGAATAAATGCAATTAATTCCTTTGTAAGTACCTTTGTAAGCACATTATACAAAGTGCCCTATATATGGGAGTTAAAGATACTGAGTTCAAATACCAACTTTACTATTTTCTACCTGTGCAACTTTGGGCAACTAAGTCACTAAAGTCACTTATAACCTCTCTGGGTCTCACTTTCCACATCTGTAAAATGAGAATGAGAAGGGATTGAATTAGATGACATCTAATGTCCTTTCCATATCTAAATCTATGACAATAAAATAAAAACCTAACTAGTACCTACGATTATGATATTGTGCTGATTTACACAAGGAGTAGACTGAATCTTACCTCAAGCCATTTATATTTTTTTAAAAGCTGGCTGAGCAAATGGTTAGATTA